ATGCCAGTGTAAGTAGTATCAGTGCAAATATATAGGAATTTGGGTCAACCCCGATTTTACGAATACCCGAATTTACAAACGGCTCTGGGCCCGTGCCGTACGTAAATGAGGGGTTCTACTGTATAATTAAACATGTAATACTGGATTAAAGACAATATTTTATTGAACTACTGTACAGGCTGTTTGATCATAAGGAGTGCTATGCTCTGAGTGAAGAAATAACCTTCACTCAAGGTTCAGAGCCTAGCATCTGGAGATTGAGGTACTCCTCATGTGAAACAGCCTGTAGTGCAATAAAATGTTGAGTCTTTAATCCAGTGTTACATGTTTATTTGTCTATACTGCTCTGCTATATACTGCATTGAGCCTGTCTCTTATACAAAACGGTGTACAATCATTGAAAGTTGACTTGCGGAACACAAATTTATTAAGCTGTAACAAAATCAAACGGATATTTCGATAGCTCCTGCTATCTTCATCAACGTTAAAGTGAGAAAACTTGGGAGATATTACATATACATAAAGAATAATAAACTAATCAGAATCAAGTTATCAATACAATTAGTTGATTGGACCACAAAATATAAGTTCAGTGACAAGTTAATGAGCGAATTACTTACAATTAAACCATGATAAGATGTCGGCAAAATGATTATGTAAGCGATAGTTTATTGGCGGTGCCATTGAACCAGCTTAATGCTAAGACTTATTTAACTACAGTAAACAATAACAGGAAATAAAACATAGTAAGTTTAATAAGTTCCTATAAAATTAAAATAATTGTGGAATAGAAAATAAATAGCAGAAATATAAGGTATATGTATGAATTTAAATAATATAACGCATGATATCATGATGACAAATAAAATACAGTTTAGAAATCAATGAATATAAAAAATGTACATAAGTAGAAATAATATATAGCATATCTAGTTAGATACTGTATTTATAGAGAAACATTGCGTATGAAGGCATAATCACATGTAGAGCCTATAGTCCTTATTTAGACCCTTAATGTTAGTTTTTAACCGGATTATCCATTTCATTTCTGCGTTACGTCGTTCTTGTGTTGATTTAAAATTGCAATTATTATAGCCCTAAAGTCATTGATGATGTGATTAGGTGAATTAAAATGTACACTTACTGGGCAGTTGAGTTTGTGTCTTATAGATGATTTGTGGTTGTTCATTCTAGATCTGAAAGTTAGATCAGTTTCGCCAACATAGTTTCCCTCGTTGCATTTGTTGCAGTATATGAGGTATATAATATTGGGCGAGTTACAATTCAGTACTGGTGGCCGGATTGTTATTTGCGTTTCTGGTGGATTAAATGAGCTGTCAGTATTGATGATGTTGCATAATTGACATCTAGAGCTGTTACATTGTGTGTTGCCATGTATCGGTTTAGTGGAGGGGAGTTTAGATGAGGTTAAAGTGGACTTTAAATTAGGGGGTTGCCTACGTGCTAGTAGAGTGGGGCTGTAAAAATATTTCTTTAATCGATGGGTCTTCTTGGAGGGAGAGGAAGTCTCTTTTAATTCTCTTAAACAGTTGCAGGATGCTGGGGCTATAGTCAAATACCATAGGTAGCCGATCATTTTTAAATTTAGGTCTATATGTTAGAAGATCAGTGCGAGATTTACGCGAGGCTTTTTTAATCTGAGTTTTTATTACATTTAATGGGTAGTTACTTGACATGCACTTGCCAGTGAGAAGAGATATGTGTTTGTTATAATCGGATGGACATAATCAGATTCGTTTGAGACGCAGGCATTGACTGTAGATGAGCGATCGTTTAAGACTCATAGGGTGTGAGCTTC